GAAATATATTTATGTTTGTGGTTGTAATGTGACAAAATATGGAAAAGTTCAAGGGGTATGAATACTTTTGCAAACCACTGTAAAAGCAGCAGGTACCTAATCTCATCACATTCTTAGATTGGTTAGTAACAGGGAAGAGCATTTGTAGCAAAAATATTTCAAATTTAATGGAAAATATTGGACTTGCTTTGATCATTGAAAGCTTATTTCATCCTTTGCTCACAAAGGAACAGTGAGCACAACCAGTGCCAGCACAACAACAAACCTTGAAAGCAGAGAAACTTAATCAGAGCTCATCTAAGCTTCTGCTTTATCATTCAGGACTGATGGTTGTTTCATGGTTTTACTTAAAAAAAAAGATTTGGGACCTGCAGTGAATCAAAGTCCTGCAGCTAAAAACAAAAACCCTCAAATGAAACAGAAGGTTTGTGTCCAGAGACGTGTGCAGCTCTAACTCTGCTGGCCGAGGGTCTTTATGTTTCTTTGTTCTCATCAGTCCAACAGATCAATGCAGAGGGGAACCATGAATCTGACAGTAAAGCTTAGCCCACCTGTGAGAATAGTCTCACTTTATAATCCTTTTATAAAAAGGCAAAAAAAGAACTGGGACCTTCTAAGATAGGTGTCTGTTTTCTGTGGGCAGTGGACCAAAGATTTGTTTTAAAAAGACCCACCTGAATGGACAAGTAACACTGCCCTATTATCTGAGCATGGACAGAGCAATTTAAATATCTTTATCATTAAAATGAACAATCATGAACCATCTGGTACCAGTACCATCACTAAATATTGTTGTGAATGTCTCTGTCCACACTCAGATTGTGACTGTTTGTCTCAGTAGCTTTTAAACTCACAGCATAGGGGTCTGACCCATCCTTGTCTGGGAACACTTCAGTCTTGCCGTGGCACACCAAATCCACCTGAACAGTAAAACACAACAGGTTAAAATCAAACAGCCCACAAGTAAAGGAAAATAAAACCATTCATTATTATTCAACAGGTTTTCTGCTTGTTTGACTCTGATCTTTGTTAACTTCATTATTCAGTTACACATAACTCATCGTAATGAGGTGGCAGTAGGCGAATGCTAAAACATAGCAACAAAAGGAAACAACACTGCTGCACAATGACCTAATTAAGCAGAAAAATCAAGTGCACATTTAGAAATAAGGCCACGACAGTGAACAGCTGTTCTGTGCAATCATTTCTTGACAGGTCTTCACTAACTTTTTTTCTTTCCTTTTGGCTTTGTTCACATAATTCGACACTGATTATTTTCATGAAATAAACACTTAAAATACTGGTAACACTTTCTTTCACAACAACTATTATGTTCTTTAAATTTAATTAAATGTAACATTGAAATACTGAAACCTCAGTACTTTTAAATATAGAACTTGTGCTTAAGCAAAACAAGGAAAATGTTTAGGCTTTCTCAGAAATAAATCATGTTCTTTTTTAGCCACTTCCTTGATTTTTCTTACAGTTCTTCATGTTTAGACTGCAGCGCTACACTTAAAGGGATCCCTGATTAGTTGTAACATTAGACTTTATTTGATAAACATATATTTAAACTG